CCTCCTGTATTAGGTTAATGGGGGAAGGGAAGCGGGAACCCAGGCGGCACCGACGGCCCTGTGCGGGGCGGGGGAGGGAAGGGAAGCGCGGACTCTCCCGAGCAGCCGCCGCCAGCTTGGTCCGCAGCCAAACCCCACAAGAATGCAACGCGGTCACATGACCTCCGGCGGACGTGCAACTCCCTTCCCTCTCCAGGGAGACCCGGCGCCATCTTGTACTGACGCAGTTACAAAAGCAGGCGCAACTTGCTCCTCTCCCGCTCTTCCCCCGCTCCTCTCCTCACAGCCCCGCCGCTGCTTGGGAAGGAGAAGCCCAAGGCCTGGTTCCTGCTCTCCCTTTTCAGCAGCTCTTCGGGGATTCCCCCGCCCGTGAAGTCCTCCCTGACGCTGGGATCATGGCGCCCGTTTTCTCCCTTTGCACCAGCCTCCCCCGGCAGCTCCCCGACCCTGCCCAGCTGCGGCGGCCCCTGCTGCAGGATGATGTCAGCGCCAGCCAATCAGGGCGCGCCGGGCCAGCCGGGCCGGCCCACCTATTGGCTGCCGCGCAGCTCCCGCCCCCCTCCTGACTGGGTCTCCGCCGCGGTTCGCTGCGGAGCCGCAGAACGAGTGGGGGAGGGGAATAGGAGGGGAAGGGAATTAAAAAAAAAAAACCCTACACAAAAAAACCGACAACCAAACCCACCAAGACGCCAGCCGCCATTTCGCGCAACAACAGGCAGAACCCGAGCGAGCAGCCCCAGCCAAGCGCCCTAAGGAGAGAGAGAAAGAGAGAAACAAGAGACACACGCACAGAAGAGTTAGACAGGAAAAAATACCCATAGACTCCGCCATGATCACAAGACGTTTAATCGCCCCCCCTCCTCCCTCAGACTCAATGCCCCATTACAGCCGCCTCCTCTGCGTCCAACCAGCTAGCAGATCCCTTCACCTCGGCTCCCTCTTGCCGCAGCAGCAGCTGTTTAGAGCCCCAAACTCTCTCTGCCCAAGGTGTGGGGGGACGCTAGATCTATGGCGCTGCTGCTAACTGCTTCTCCAGTCACCCGATTGTGGCGGCTCCATCGAGGCAGGGTAAGAGCTGCCAGCCCAGCTTTTATCTGGTGCCCCGAGTTTGCGCACTGAAGGAGGCTCGCTCAGCCCCTGGTGGGCGTCGAATGAAACCCCAGCCGCCGCCTCCCCTCCCTCAATCAGCCATATCGCTGGAGGGGCTGAAGCCAGGCAGGGGAGGCAGGGCGGTGTGCGGGCAGAACAAGAGCTGGGAGGGGATATGGCGAAAGGAAGGGGAGCTCAGTACGGACGGCGAGAGGCTGTGTCGGCCCCGGAAGGCTGAGGGAGCCTCTCGCCTTGCCAGCTCCCGCCGGTCCGGCTGAAGGCAGACCGTGCCTGCTCCCCGGGGGCCGTTCCCTGAAGGGGAAACGGGGCTCGCTCTCCTTCCCTGCAGAAAAGAAACGCCTTCAGCTAGTGCTGTCCCACTCGCTTTAAGAAAAGAAGCTCTCTCCCACTTGCCTTATATACGAGCCTTAAACGCTTCGGGGAAGATTCTCAGCCTCCAGTGCCTTATTGACAAGAAAGATTGAGGCAAAACCCCCACATCGCCCTGACCGGGTCTCGGTCAAGGCTCCCGCTCCCTCCCCTTTTTCGCCCCTCTCCTCCCCGCCCCTCAAGTAAGTTCCTCTGCCTGTGTGAGATGCGGCGCGTTTGCCCGGTTTTCGCGTACTTTGTGGCGAAAATTTACCCCTTGGCTTGAGATTCATAAAGAATAGGTATGCTGAGAGCAACGACGGCCGCGAGCAGGAAGCCGGAGGTGGGGGAGGGAGAGCAGCTGAGGAGGGAGTTTTGGCGTTTCTGCCTCAGAGGATGCAGTTCTGAGTCAGACATCCTCCCTC